AAAAATGTAAGGAATAGAAAGTACAGATACTTGTACTGAAAATGTAATGAATAGAAGACAGAAGTAGGAAGAATAATAAGTAATGGAATAAAGTATAGATACCTAAAGTGTACTTAAGTATTTGTACTTTGTTATTTGACACCTCTGATATTTTCTATTTCTTCATTTCAGCTTAAAGCCAAACAGTTTGCCTTAAAACTGATCTGTTCAAACCAACAACGGTTCAGGTAGGAAGCTCTCTGTTACTCACCCCAAGGAGCTGAGCTGGTGCTGCTCCCAAGCTGTCATGGAGCCCAGGCCCGCGGCCGAGCTGAAGCCGGCCATGTCTGCACTGCTCAGGGAGTAATCTGCCCAACAGAGGGATAAAATGATAAATACTCTCAGTCAGCCGTTTTATTTTGGTCCAAAAGCTTTTCAGAATATATTTTTACTCCCAGAACTCCTCATTTTATCCCATTAAAGCAAAAAACCTTAATGTGTTTTATAATGACTTTATGTAAACAGAACAACACTGAAAAGACCGTAAATGACACTGTTTTATATAACATCTTTAAAGATGCTAAATCCATTTCTGTCAACCCCCCTTTTACTCTTATAACCCTAAATAAATTATTCAGAGGGCATCTAACTGGAGCAGACAGTAAAATTGTTGGTAAATTAATGTCAGACACAGACACAAGCATCATGATGTTCATTAGAGCCAACTTGCAGTACAATCTATCATCTGGAGGAGGAAATAAAATGGCACAAAGGCAAACTGACTTGGATATGGTTATTTCTCTAAACTGAGAGGCGAGGCAGGAGCATAATTAATCAGAGAATCAGAGGTTCCTTGTTACTCTGGAGGAGCTGTAAAGATCCGGAGCTCAGATGCAAGAATGTAACCATACGAAAATCGTCAGTTTTACAAATTTCTTAAATTAAGGGTATTTACCCTTAATTTGAGTAGGTAAATTTGATAGTTTGCCAATGATATAAGTATTTCTACTCTTAAAATAAGATAATTAGATAATATGCACTTGAAATAAGAGAATTCAACTTATTTTAAGTGTAAATTGTCTTGTTCCATTGGCAAAATGTATCTTTTACCTCCTCAATTCAAGAACAAATGCACTTATTTTAAGAAAAAATGACTTATCTAGATTTAGATGGGCGAGTGGTGAAGGGAAGCCATTGTTGAAAACAAGCAGGGTTTACAGCCATCATGTTATCCTTGCTGTAACATGATGGTGGCAGCATCATGCTTTGAAATATTTTTAGTTTTTTGGAAGAGACAAGAAATGAGTCTGAGATAATAAAAAAAAAAAATGGAAGGAGCTCAATACAGCGCAGTCCTGAATGACAAACAGAAATATTGACATAACCCTTTAATTAACTTTAAACAGCCGGATCAGACCATGTGTTTGGATGGATCTAGACTTTCCACTTAACGGTTGCTATAAATGAACCTGTTTAAGTTGCTTTCTAAAGAAGATGGGAACAAATTTCCACCTTTAGACGTTCAAAGCTAGTAGAGAACTACTCAAACAGACCAGCTGCAGTCAAAGATGGTTCTTAAAAAGTACTGAATATTTCATTGTTGACCAAAAATAGTTGGAAAACATACAAGAGTTTCTGGTATTTTATGATCATGAGCTGCTTTATATAGGTCTATAAATAAAAAATATTTAAAATATAACAATAAAGATTGTGGAAACCTTTTCAGCATGTCTACTTCTAAGGCTAGGCTGAAAACTTTCCTTTTTGATAAAGCTTTTAGTTAGAGTGGCTCAGGCTATTATTAGCTATCTGTTATGCTGCTATAGGCTTAGACTGCTGGAGGACATAGGGTCCCCTTTTTCATCATTCTGCTACATCCTATCTCTATTCTCCCACAGTAGCTTCATCTGGTCTGTTCCTGTTTGGCTGT